TCCATACCCTCCAGGCTGGCCACCCCTCAGACCAGCAATGTCTTCTCTAACCCAGACTCTCTTCAGCTTCATCAGCTAGTGGGATTTACGGAGCTTTCATTCAGCAGGCGTAATGGGTTAAATCTTGACCACTAGTAATGAACTCACTTGCTAGCCTGTCTCTGATGTGTAGAGTTGGGAGTTGGGGCTGTACCCCAACTGTCTAAAGTTGCCTACCTAGATCATGGTCTTTCTGGAGACTAACTCTTGCCCTGAAGTTCTCTCTACTTGTGCTGGGGTAGGGGGTCCACCCCCTCTTTGGGGCCTGTTGATTCAACTTTTTCTTAGCTCTCATCATCATATTGACTTTTGGGCTTGTACCATTCCAGGCATTCTGTTTGTTAAACAGAAATAGGAGAGTTCCACATGGTGGACTAGACTGGTTACTCCTTTCTTGCCCACTGTTTCCTTGATTGTGAATTATGAAGCTTAAATATTCTATTTCTTAGCATCTAGGGAATGATAGAATTATGACCCAGGACACAGAAGCCTAAGTTTCTAAGAATTTAGAGAAAGGGGTTTTCCCCCCTCTGATAAATGAGGTAACACAATGGGTGTGCCTCTTTGCCATGTTCTGACACTGAAACCTCAGATGTAGCAGTTAGAGCATCAGCAGCCATGTTGGAATCAATAGGGAAGGCCAAAGAAATAAATGTATTATCCTTGACACTGGGTCTTATGAACGGATGCCAGTAACATATTACACTTCTAGATTTCATGAGTGACACAAGAGTTGGGTTCTCTATAATTTGCACATGAAATGAATGAGCTCAAAACAATTCTTACATGAGAACTAGCTTTCTCTAGACTCAAGACAAATGCATTTAGCAATAACTTAAATTATAAATCTCACTTGTTTTATGTGGCCTGAGATTTTCTTTAATTGCTTTGCACACACCTCTACAAGTTGAACTGCTTGGTCATGGAAACAGTAAATTTTCATGTCCCTTGAGCAGGGGCTGGGTAAACTGAAAAGTGCTTTTTAAGCATAATAACCTTTTGGTGCATCATTGTGGCCTCAAATCAGGTAGAACTGGAGAATCTGTACCCTTGAAACAACAAACCAAACAGAAATTCTGCTGTGATTCACTGTGGACAGAAGTGAGTCAGCATGATTAAGCGAGCTTGTAACCTGACTCCAGGGAACACAGTGCTTTGCATCTATAAAGCAGGGGAAAGCCATTTAGAAAGAATAAGATTGAGTCCACATCCGACAACACACATAAGAACAGACTCCCAAGGGAACAGAGAAATTCAAATAAATAATGAAATCAAACAATTACTAAAATAAAATGCAGATGAAAAAATATCATTGAGTCTGAGTAAGGAAAGGATAACTGTAGCAAGTCTTTCTCTGTCCTGCCAGCCAGCTCCAAAATAATGACATGGAGACTTCTTATTAATTTTGAAAAGCTTGGCCTATAGCCTAGGCTTGTTCCTTACTTGTTCTTATAACTTAAATCAACCCATATTTTTATTAATCTATGTTCTACCACAAGGCTTTTACCTCTATCCCACTCTGTGTGTTTGACTCTCCCCGTCTGGCTGGCTTCTCTGCTTCTCTTCTTCCCAGAGTCTTCTTTGTGGTTGGGGGTCTCACTCAATACCTCCTGCCTAGCTATTGGTCATTTAGCTCTTTATTAATCCAATCAGAATGTGCCTTGGAAAGACACATCTTCACAGTGAACAAACAGATAACCATAATCCAAAAGCCAGATAGAAGAGAAAACATGCTCTTAAAAAAATCATGACTTGGAAGATGACTTCACTGGTAAAGTGCTTTCTGCCCAAGGGTGAGAACCTTAGTTTGGATCCCTGGCACCCACATGAAAGCCAGGCTTAGCAGCATGCATCTGAAATCCCAGTGCTAGGAAGACAAAGAGAGAGAACCCATGGCAAGCCAGTCTAGCAGAATCTGCAAGCACTGTGTTCAGTGATGAAAGTCCTTGTCTAAAAAAATTATGGAGAGTTGCTGAGGATCACACCTGACCTCAGCCTCTGATCTTCACATGTTTACACACACACACATCCAAGTGGGCTGACACACACATATGAACATGTACACACGCACACACACCTACCTTAGATACACTTTCTCTTTCCTTCTTTCTTTCTTTCTTCCTTTCTTCCTTCCTTTCTTTCTTTCTTTCTTTCTTTCTTTCTTTCTTTCTTTCTTTCTCTTTTCTTTCTTTCACATAGCCAGAACCACCATGAATGAACTCAAATGGCGAGCTTGAATTTCTACCATCTATGTGGACCTGGAATTCTACCCCTAAAACCACAAAGCCATTCCCTCTACCCATATCAAAATATCAAAAATAATACAAGTAAAAGATGTGAAGAATGTATTTTCAAAATATATCACAAATAATATATCAAATGTAATACTTTACAGAGAAGAGTGAAATTGATCCCTGTTATATTGCTGTGTTGTGTTAGCAGCATATGTTAGCATTTCCTGTCTATCTTCCATTTGTTTAAGGAATTAATAGTCAGATCTCAAAAGCAGGAAGGCTGGAATGCTTAGCCATCTACAGATAGATTGTTTCCAAGACTAAGGGGATTTGCAGAACTAGTGTGAATAAGAACCTCTGTTAAATCTGTACAAATAAAATATGTGTACTCTATTTAAAGAAATAGGGATTTTGAGGGTATTTTTAACTCTGACATTTTCCATCCCAAAAGGTTTTTTTGTTTTGTTTTTAAGCTTGTGGTCTGCTGGCATTCCCTTTCTTCTTCTGCACTTATTTTAGATCGTAACTCCCACAAACAATATGTTTCCTCAGTTGGCAAAGATGAGCTGCTAGACATTGGAGTGCAGGAACTCCAGCTGTGTGTAGGGCTTGTGAATTCCTGCCTAACCTACGCTCAGGTTCCTCCCTTGTCCTCCCTTTGAAGAACTCCTTGACAGAAGCAGTTTGGTTCACTACACTAGACACTTGCCTGCCAAACCATGTTTGTAAAAAGAATGAGAGTTCAGCTATTTTAAGAACCAACAACAAATATACCCAAGGATTGCTTTCCATATGTCACCCAGTTATAGGAACCAAGTGTGTCCAGAGGCCAACGGCAACCGGAATGAGAAAAGAAACTTTTACAATGTGGTTCGTGAAAGAGATCTTATTCTCAGGCTCCAGGAAGGAATTGTAAACGTCTTAGCCTGAACAGGACCAATTTCTATTTGTTTACTTGTTTGTTTGTTTATGTTTGGCAGTGCTGGGGATCCAATTTAGGGCTTTCCACATTGTAATCTCCTGTTCTGCCACTGAACTATATGCCTAGGGCCAATTTTTAAACAGTTTAAGATTTGTAACCATGTAACCCAATGGGAATGAAAAGACTAACTGAGTGACCCAAGCTATTATCCTGTAGTCACAACAGCACCTTTGCCACATGTCCTGATCATGGCTTAGCTGCAGCTGCATGAGTTGCAAGCTGAAGAATTCCCTCCACCAAGTGCTCGCCACCATGCTTTTTAGCCTTTCCCAAAGCTTCAGTGTCTGAGTCCTGTCACATACATAGCTGGGAAGTCTAACGACCCAGAAGACTTTTCCCAACCAAAGAGGCTAGAGTTGGCTAAAAGTCCCTCTCCTGTCCATCCATTGTAAGTGTATTCCACAGTGTTCCTCAGAGGGTCCTGGTGGGACTGAGTGCCAATTTCCCACAATGGTAATTGGCCAAGTAAGCCATTCTGTAATGTCTTTTCCTTTTCAGCTGTTTTATATTCTTGATATTCTTATTTTAACTTTCTGGTTTCCTTCAGATGAACACTTATATCCTCAATGGCCTGTCCCCTCTCCTCATATTAAATATTAATCAAGACAATTTCCCCACAGACATTCCCCCAAGCCAACCTGATGGTGGCAATTCCTCAATTGATGTCCCAGTTGACAGCTGAAGCCAATTATGAGGCCACTTATGACCCAACTCGACAGTCTTAACTCACTGAAGAAGATTAGAATCAACTAAAGAGGTTGACAGCCGGGTGTTGGTGCCGCATGCCTTTAGTCCCAGCACTCTGGAGGCAGACGCAGGCGAATTTCTGTGAGTTCGAGACCAGTCTGGTCTACAAGAGCTAGTTCCAGGACAGGCTCCAAAGCCACAGAGAAACCCTGTCTCTAAAAAACAAAAAATACGCAAACAAACAAAAAACAACACAACAACAACAAAAGAGGTTGACGTTTTAGAGCCAGCAGGCTTCACTACAAAGAAAAATAAAACTGAGAAAGGTGAACTCGATCTGTAGAAGGGAGTAGAAATGATAAGGAGTTGTGTTTAAAAAAGAGGATATAAGCAAGTACTTGTGCATATGTAAGGTCTGCCAGAGTCAAGATGTATTTCTATAACATAATACTCAGTGTTGGGTAAAATACAAAGAAGAAGTTTGATTGGCTCATAATTCTGGCAGCTGGAAAGTCCAAATATCATAATACAACTCAGGTGGGGTGAAGTAGAAAAACCCAGCCACATGCAGTAATTTATAGGGCAGCCTCATGTACCAAAAGCCTACACTTTAAAAAAAAGATTTTTAGAAATTTATTTTACATGTATGGATATTTGCCTACGTGTATGTTTGTGTACCACAAACGCCAAAGAGGGCATTGGATCACCTGGGACTAGAATTAGGAGATGGTCGAGAACAGCCAGTGCTCTTAGCCACTGAGCCATCACTCCAGTCCTCCGAAAGCCCAAGAACTCAGCCCTATGTTGAACTTAATGGGGGTGAGGCAAATTCCATCTCAAAACAGAGACAAAGGTCTGGGAAATGGCTTAGACAGTGAAGGCCAAGCCTGGTGACCTGTGTTCAATTCTCAGAACCCACATGGTAGAAGGAGAGAACCAACCCCCGCAAATGTCCTCTGATCGAAACACATGTACGGTGCATATACACCCCCCTCTCCCCAACACACAGTGAATAAATAAGTGTAATCTTTAAAAAGAGGTAAAACCAAGTTGCCTACCACCTCAATCCAGATGTCGTCACCAGAGCAACTGCAGAAACGTTTTTTTACTGGTCCAAGCTTTGAAATTACAGCAGACTTCACTAGAGGACATTTGAGGGATGGTGCCCACTTGAAGATTGTGTTAAAATAGGGCACCACCCAAGCAGATGGTTTTGTGACTTGCTCTTGTGTTAAAGAGGTAGATGAAGTCATGTGTATTTGACCACACAAGATTGATGGATATTTGAGCCAGCTAGAGCTATTTCTAGAGAGAATTCTGTTAAGCACAGGGCCCATCTGTACTGGCTTGTTTTATGACAACTTGACACAAGCCAGAGTTATGAGAGGGGAAGGAGTATCAATTGAGAAAACGACTCCATGAGATCCAACTGGAAGGTATGTTTTTAAATTAGTGATCAATGTGGGAGGGTCCAGCCACTGTGGGTGGTGCCATCCCTGGGCTGGTGGTCCTGGGTTCTACAAGAAAGCAGGATAAGCAAGGCATAGGGAGCAAGCCAGTAAGCAGCGCCCTTCCATGACCTCTGCATCAGCACGTGCCTTCGGGCTCCTGCCTTGATTGAGTTCTGTCTTGACTTCCTTTGGAGATGAAAAGCAATGTGGAAGTGTAAGGTGAATAAACCCATTGAACCCCAACTTGTTTTTCTGTTATGGTGTGTTACTGCAGCAATAGAAACCCTAACTAAGACACCACTTGACAGGGAAGAAAACCTTTGGTTTTGGCATTGAAAAATATACAGAAGAACATTATTTGAGAAACTGCTTTGGAATATATTGTAAAGTTGAAACCACACAAGTTATGAAAGACAGGAAAAAAAGAATAGAAAAAGGGAAGAATTTCATTTCAAAGTTCTAGTGATCAAGAATCAATTGATAAAAATGCTTAGAGATGTCACACTATTCATGTGCACAGCTGTAAGGTGAGGAAAGCCCTTCTAAACAACAGATACGGTTTGCTGGATCACAAGTAGGTCATGGCAGTGGATTTGGCAACTCCATGGGTGGTGGAGTTAATTTTGGCTGGGTTGGGCACTTCGGTCAAAGAGTAGACACTGCTGGCGAAGATGTGGGCAGCAGAGGTGGCTGTGGGGGTGGGTGATGATGATACACGCCTTTTTGGAGGTGACAAAGGAAACTGTGGCGGTGGCCCTTGTTCCAGGAGTAGAGGAGGCTGTCTATGGTTGCAGTGGGCCAGGATGAGGAAACTGAGGTGTGGGAGAAGAGGAGGCTGTGGTAGGTACAATAAAGGAGGAAATTTTGGCGGTAGTGGTAACCATACTGCATTGGAAATGCTAGTGGACAATAGGAATTAGATGATGGACTCAGGAAGAGCCAGTGGAAGACACTGAGGCCGTCCCTTTGGTAATGGCTATACTTGGGGGTGCACGTCGTGGATATTGTAGCAAAGGGTTTCTAAATTATCGGAAAAGGGCTACAGTGTGAGGCAGGAGAGAGCGGTTGTCAGAAGAATGGCAGGTCACTCTGAGGCAGTCCTCCCAAATGCAGAAGTCAGCCACAGAGGAAGCCATGAGTCACAGAAAAGTTACTGTCACTTAAAACAGGAAACTCTCCTTGCTCAGGACTGTCCCATCCATAGTCTGCAAAAAGTTCAGTTATGGGCTGTAGAGATGGTGGCTCACAACCATCTCTAATGAGATCTGATGCTCTCTTCTGGCGTGCAGGCATGCGCGCAGACAGAACACTGTATACATAATAAATAAATAAGTCTTTAAAAGAATGTTTTAAAAAGTTCGGTTGCTCTCTAATGTAACTGTGGTGTAAATTAGATATTCATTCCTGAGGCCTTTTATGTGTTGAAGCTTTTTTCATTATATCAGGTATAGCAGCCTATAAATTATGGTAATGCCACCACAACTTTTTTTTTTAAGTAGGAATTTTTCACTTTAAAAGAAAAAACATCGAACTCAGTCCTATGAAAATTGATGGCTCCTGTCCAGAGGCACTGATCTTATGACCATCGGATCACCTCCCACTTTACCCTGGTAAATGCTTGCTTTGACCAGAAGGTCTGAACACATTCGTTTTTCCACAGCAAGGGTAAAGTTAGCCTTAGGAGTGCTCTGAAGCCACTGGTTAGTTTTTGAAGAGCAGCTCATAACATCCTCCCCTTGAAGTAGCAAAAATGACTAAGTCTGGAAAGTGCAAAGCGGTGGTGATGGGAGGCAGGGAAAATCTCTAGGGCTGGGAAGACTCTGCAGTGCCTAAGAGGACCCAGAGGCACGGGCTCAGGGAGCAGCAGAGCTTGGACAGACCCAGAGGCACGGGCTCAGGGAGCAGCAGAGCTTGGACAGACCCAGAGGCACGGGCTCAGGGAGCAGCAGAGCTTGGACAGACCAGGTGTGAAGAACTAGCATCTTTCCCTGGGAGGAAATCCCACAGACGTGAGGGTGCTCATTCTGTGGACAGCTCACAGGAAGGAATCACACTAGCACTTAGAACCTGGAATTGGAAAAAAGAAGGAATCTGTATAGTACAGAAATTAAAACCTGCAAGTTGCTTGAAAACTTGCCATCACTCATTCATCTGATAGCACAAGTACCAGAGAGAAAATAACGGATAGGGGCAGTGATGCCTTTTATTCCATGCTTTTTGTTTGATTTTTGAGACAACTCACAGAGATCCTCCTGAGTGCTGGGATTGAAGGCATGTGCCACCACTGCCCAGCTCAATTCTTAACTGTGAGCTCCTTTTTATGGGTTTCTTGGATGACGTCCTTAGGTTGGGCCATGTGTAACATTATACATTTTTAGTATATTTAGCCTAAAGTCAATTCTAGGTGTTAGGGAGATTTCAGATTAATACTTTGATATTAGATTTATGACTCTTCCCCTCCCCTTTTTTTTACGTGTTTCAAATCCTGACTGTAAAATTGTGTCACGTTTCTGACTTTGGGGATCAGTGTCTCTATTGGGTGTTTACTGTGTATTTGCCTACTATGAGGGTGCTATGGGAGATGCAGAAATGGACTGTCCTTGGGCTTTGATCTGGACACATCACAGTCAAAGATAAGTATTATCCATCCCCTCCCCACAACTTCCTTGCTGTTAAGTGTAGTTCCGATCACTGAGATATAAACTGAAAAGGGAGCTGCCTCATGGAGGGCTCCCCAGTGCCCTGCTTGCTTTGATTCTGCTTGCAAGAAGACCGAAACACACTGAGGAAGGCCGGAGCTCTAGTTGCTACCTAGGAGTTCGAGGTGACCACTGATGGTGACAGGTACTGTTTGTGACCCGTGATGATGTGCCCAGAGCTGGTCTCTCTCTTTTCCCATCACAGTCAGCTTTACTGTCCAAAGCTGAGCTGCCCTCAAGGCCCCTTCTGGCTCTGCCTGCACACAGTATCCATCCAGGCTGGGTAACTTCAGAAGATGGGCCTCGAAGGAGCACCTAGAGTTGCCCAGCTAAGATTATATAATCTTTTACCCAAAAAGCAATCCATGCTCACCTTGCTTATGCAATTTTTATTTGGATTTCTCTGTTTCTGTGTAGCTGAATTCCTTACAATTTGCAATTGATATAAATAAATAGGGCCTTGCACTGTACCTACCTGTAACAGTATTTCTGTACTAAAACATTTTCCACCCAGGTATTGCCCCTAAGTGATTGCTCTTCAACTTCTCTCTCCATGCAGTTGCTCAGGAAAACCCAACACAGGTTCGCTTGTACAATTATGAATCTGTGTTCTTTCACTTTTGCTTGGCAAGACTGTATCTAGCGCTTTACAAGCACTTTCTGAACTCTGAGGGGTGGGGGTGGCTATTTCTTCCTTGTCTGATTGTTCTATCCAGAGCTTTTATGAGACAGGGAACCTGGCTGAGGAGTTCGAGAGAGGCTGGGCTAGAAAGGATGAACGTTAGTGAAAGAAAGGGAGTTGGCTCTGCACAACAGCCCACTAGAGCCTCACTCTATTCATCCAATGGGACCAGGATAAAGTTGCCACCAAGGGAGAAGTGATACTCATATTTGGGTCAAAATTAATTTTCCCTTGTTGCCGGGCGTTGGTGGCACATGCCTTTAATCCCTCTCGGGAGGCAGAGGCAGGTAAATCTCTGTGAGTTCCAGACCAATCTGGTCTACAAGAGCTAGTTCCAAGACAGCCTCCAAAGCCACAGAGAAACCCTGTCTCCAAAAACAAACAAAAAACAAAACAAAAACAACAATTTTCTCTTGTTTTGTCTTTGATTTTTATTTCATTAATTCCTTCGTGAATTATTCACCTTGACTAAAATTCATTAAGACTTCCCCTTCCCCCCACCCTACCTTAGACTGCTGAGGATCTTTAGTTTGAGACCAGCCTGAGTTATTAGTAAACTCCCCTTTCAAAAACAACACAGGACAAGTCGGGAGGCAGAGGTAGGTGGATCTCTGTGAGTTCCAGGCCAGCTTGGTCTGTAGAGCAAGCGCTAGGATAGGCTCCAAAGCTACACAGAGAAACCCTAACTTGAAAAACTGAAAAAAAGAAAAAAACAAACAAAAAAACAGAATAAAAGAAGCTCACACATGCCATTTGTAAGTTGTATAAGCAACGTCTATGGGAAAATTAATCTTGCAGGCTACATGCACCCCCAAAATAGCTATGACTGCAACACGGTATAAAACTGAAAACTTAATGTTACAAATTTTTTTTGTTTTTTATGATTTTTATTGCACAATTCTTTATAGATGACAACTTCGTGTCACAATGTCAAAACGTTGAACTTACTTACCTTCAAAGAAAAAAACCAAGATAGTTAGTATTTGCTCCCCAATATCCTACAAAGATTGGAGGGAGGAAGCAGAGGGAACAGTGACCAGTGAAACTGGGCAGGGCAGCAGAGGCCTTTGTGAGCATTCTCCTGTAGAGGATTTTGTCCCTGCCCCCCCCCCGCCCCTTTTTCTGAGTCAGGGTCTCATGTAGCCACACTAATTTCAAACTCACTATGGATAATCTTGAACTTCTGACCTTCGTGCCTCTTCACCCCAGAGTGCCGGGGACACACATGTACCACCACACCCCAATTATTTTTTTCCCTTACCTTAAAGAAAGGTGCCATCGATTGATTTCAGTTGGGGAATTTTAAAAGCCAAGAGGCAGGATGTTTAGTGTTGCTACTGAAGAACAATAG